AAAAAGCATTAATATATAGGGATATATTTTGTGAATTTTCATCTCTTTATCCATACTTTCTACTTTTACTGTAATCCTGTTAATTTTTTGTTCAGTATTTTCCAAGTTTAAAAATGTACACTGACCACCAAGAATAAAATAAAAATAATTTAAAAGATATAAAGCATGTAGGTTGGGAATATATTGTGCGTTATAGTAGTGCAGTGGTACCTTGGTTCAAGAGCTTAATTCCTTCTGTGATTTAGGAGAAGATGGCTACACTTGTGTTTATTACCAGATGCAGAGTTCCACAGAAGTAAAATTTTGTCCAACTCTTCTGTTCCTGAACCAGTGTATTACTATATTCTCCACGACTAAAGCTCATATGCTACATAACACTGTTACATACAAGTATATGGGCACTTATGGTAATCCTAAAATGTAATTTTTCTTTCTTTTTGAATATGAAGTAAGGGCTGGGACATAGTTTGGCAGACTAACCACTTGCCTGGTAAGTGCGAGGAACCAGGTTCTGCATGCCACGCTGATCCTGCACCAAGCCAGCCACTGAGACAAGTGAGGTGGAGCACACCTATAATCTCAGTGCTGGAGAGGCTGAGACAGGAGGATCACTATGAGTCCAAGCAGGGTAGCAGGACCCTGCACCAAATATATTAATAAATAAATGAAATATGTAAATAAAAATATGAAGTAACTATTGGTAATTTGCCCATGGTTACTGCAGTTTTACTTAGCATAGCAATAGGCTCTCTTAAAGTGTTTGACAATTTCAGGTCACTCATTTGTTCCTTATTGAGAACTCTCACTTGTCATTAGTAATGGTAAACAAATGGCATTGTATAAATGAATTGTTCAAGGACCCTAACTTAATGATTTCTTCAGCGATTTATCAGGCAAGAGTCAGTTACTCTTCTCTCATTGCTGGGACTAATATCCAACACCCAAAATGAAGGAAGGAAAGATTTCTTTAGCTCACGGTTAATGGAGGTTTCAGTCCAGCCTTGGCTGGCTCCAAGGCAAGAGTGGCACATGGCAGAGAGGTGGTGGCAGCAAAGAGCAGAAAGCAAAAGCAAATGGGAGTAGCAGCAACAATGGCAACAGAAAGCAAGTCTGTATCCCTTAAACTGCATTCAGGCTATATGCCCCAGGCTGCGAGTAATATTTACACCCATAATCCCAGTAGCAGTCGCACCCATAATCCCAGTGGGTCATGAGTTATTCACAAACTCTAGAAGTCCACGTTATGACTGCATGAGGCTTTGGGGTCAAGTAGACCCAAACTGTTGCAGGCAATCTCTTATAGCCTGTGCAACTGATTCCAATTTTGTAACTCTGTATGCTTCCACTGTAACTTCATTAACTGTTATAACCTGACATATGAGCCGCCATCTTGTTCTGTATGCGCCATTCTAAATGCTGTAACTTCCCACTGTGCCCATTCTCTACTTGAGAACCTGCAGTTGGGCCTTTCTCACGCTGTCCTTTTGTGCACACCTGAATCTAGTTCTGGCCCAATGCCCTGTTCTTGCCCTTGTTCCCAGCTACAAACTGTACCCACCACAGCACCTGTTACTGTTCATTAGAAACAGGTAATTTTTCAACTGTAGCCCCTAGATGAACCCTTGACGTCAGCTTTTGTGGTTTATTGGCTTAAATACCCACTCCATTTTGTAACCAGAATGGGCATTGTATTATACATTTCTGTACATTTCCACTGTAACTTTATTAATGAGGATTGGTTGGTATAAGCTGATAACTTAAACTCCATCTTGGTGGCTCAAGCCATCCATCGGAACTCGGAACACAGTTTGTTAATGTTCAAACCATTCCTTTGTTCTAAACCACAGTGTGTTAAAGGTTAAGATCTGAACTATTTCTTACCCCAGAGCACTCCACACAATATGTCCTGTGATCAACACCGAACCATAAATTGTAATTATTTGTTCCTGAAAATTGTATGTAAACTGTTTTCCCAAAAGTAGACGCTGACCCCTGTGCTGCATTCCCTTGCACTCAAATCATAAGACCTCCCCTTTGCGGTTTTCAGCCTTAAAAATCTTTATCTCTCACCTCCGGGGCGCACACCTCAACATCTTGCGGGGATGTCTGCTGCTGGGTACCAGCTAAAATAAAGTGCTTCTTTAACTTTTGGACTTGCCTCATTGTCATCTGATTTTTTAGTTACAACAAGCCGAGTTAGACAGAAATATTATAGGCAGTCAGACAGGGTCAGGCCCTCAAGGAGACAAGATGGAAGACAAGGTGACTTTGCAACTTGGAAGAGACAGACACTCCCATGTGGGCCACACCTCAAGACCAAGACGAAAAGAGGAAGCACAGCTACATACTTCCCTAGGGATGGGCTTTAGGGATTGATATACTAGAGAGTATCAATCAACTTGAAAGAGCCCAAATGAATTACTAGCCCAACCCTCAACAGGGAGAGACCCTGCCCCATATTCATGCCCTCTTGCTACATGACTCACTTTCCCAGTGGATACTGGATTTAATCAGTTTTACCTGAGCAATGGTGCTTGTAATCCCATTGGTTGACCACAGTTTTGTCCCACCTCCTGCCCACTTAAGCGAGTTCCTATTCTCTCCACCTCAGCCCTGCATGGTTTTGCACTATAAAAATTCCTGGAAGAGACAGCTTCCTGTGGAACTACCCACTCGGGCCCCCCTCTTGTCCCTCTGTTGGACAGGAGCTTTCTTTCTCTGAATAAATATATTCTTCTCATAACCTCCGTTTGTTCCTAAAATTCATTCTTCGGTTTTCGAGAACACGAACTCGTGCAGGTCAGGTCGGGAGATTGTTTTTCTCTATGTCATTTGGAGGTTCCTTGTATGGTTTGGAGGTCACCCACCTGAAACCAGTTTTTCTTCCCTGTATCAAAACCATAACCGCAAGTAATTCAAAGTTGTTCACACTGTGTGGGAAATGGATTTCAACACTTACATTGTTTACATTTGACAATGCTGGTTGAGACTAAATGAACTTTATAAATGAAATTGAGTATGTTTTAATGCATTTTAATTGTTTATAGATAGTGTTTCCCCATATTATAAAGTGCCCCCCTTTGATTCTCTTAGTAAACTGTTTACTTATTCTAAATATGTCTGAATATCGAAATTCATGAGTAAACCTGGTAAATGTTTCCTTTGCAATGGTACACAGGTATACAAGCTCTC